AACAAAAAAAAAAAAAAAAAAAAAAGACGTCACATGGCAAGTCAATATGGTGCTCATCTTTTTGTCATCTCATGTCACCGTAGTAGCGGGGCGGGAGGGGAGGAGGTTGAAATATTTTGAGGATATGAGACAACGATCCTCAATCTCTTTTCACGTCTTTCACGTCTTCCTAATGATGATGTCACGTCATTGCCGCGTGTCATAAACGAAGCGTCTGCGTGGCTGAATGACGACTATCGCCACATGTGTCAACTTTCGGCTTTGCGTTTCAAGTGGGATTTTACAGTAATTCAAGTCAAATATAAAGAGCGCACCAGTGCAGATTCAGGGTTGTCAGTCGTCTTCCACCCCCGCATATTGGGGTGCATATGTGGCTTTTGGCAACGTATAGGTTGGATGGATACGGATGAGCGTCCATACTGCGGACGTGTCACATACATATGCGATTTATATCCACGTAAGGAAGAAGCCCGGGTTGGATTTGAAAATATGGAAATTGTAACTGTTCACACTGCATGAAAAAAAAATCAGATACATGTCGCCTAAAACAAACAAAAAAAAAAAACTGAATTGGGCTGCAATGGTGAATATAGCCTCTGACAATTTTAACTTTTTGTTTTTTGTTTTTTTTTTAAATATACTACTCGACTCCGATTCAAACTAGATAGAAGGCAGCGTAAATCCAGCCAGAATATGATCGACAGAGAAGCTTTTTGTTCATGAGCTCCAATGCCTATTTGTATGATGATGAGTGTCCAAGTTCAAATAGATTTGTCATGAAAATGTCCATATCGAAGGAAACACTCAACTGCTGAAGCAAGTTTATCCGAACCTTTTTCACACCAAGTGCCACATTAAAAAAAAAAAACCGAAACGGAATGAGGATGAGGGGCCTTCTCGTGTTCATGAAACTTCGAAAACCAAACCGGTGTACTGAAGTCCAACATGTGCTAAGCGGTTTGCATTTGAACATTTGCGGGCCACTGCTTTAATTTATTATTAGCGTGCTAAGCGGTTTGCTAATATCTTTCAAAACTCTTTCTCAGAACATTTGCGGGCCACTGCTTTAATTTATTATTAGGATATGCAACAGGCAATAAAGCAAACGTGTAGCTGGCCTGGATTAAAGGCTTTCACTTCACTATGGAAGGTGCATCAATCAGTGGTTGAAATGAATCATACTGTGGAGAGCCTCACACGAGAGCCTTCTTTTGGAAGGAAATTCGAACAGTTTCAGTCACAGTGTGCGTGCACGCATGTACAATATTCCCTCTTCTGACATTTTTTTTCTCTCTGTCTCTCCCTTTTGGCAGGGCCCTGTCCTCCGTGGTGGCTCTGGGCGCCAACATCATCTGCAACAAGATTCCCGGGCTGGCACCTCGTCAGCGGGCGATCTGCCAGAGCCGCCCGGACGCCATCATTGTTGTGGGCGAGGGCGCCCAGATGGGCATCAATGAGTGTCAATATCAGTTCCGCTACGGACGCTGGAACTGTTCGGCGCTGGGGGAGAGGACGGTCTTCGGTCAGGAGCTGCGTGTAGGTGAGTCTGGCTTCTTTTGCAAACGGCGGCGAATGTTTTTGTTTTTATGAGGCTTCTCTTCCGTGCTTTGCTCAATGATACGGCATTGTTTGCAATTTGAGTGTCTTCTGTCAAGTCTGGAAACTATTCTGTCTCTTCTAGCTAGAAGAGTCAAGTCTGGAAACTATTCTGTCTATTCTAGCTAGCTAGCTAGCTAGCTGGTTAGCGTTCATATGCTGAATCTGAATCGCTCTTAGTTGGAACTTTGTAGGAAAGTACATAGACAGACAAATATGGGGTCGGTTTTCTACTTTTGATGGATAACATTTTCTCTTGTTGTCGTTTGAGTCTCAATGGAAGCGTTTCCCATCCCCCAGAATGTGAATTGTAGAGTCTGTCAGTGTGAAACGTCCGACGTTGTTTTATGGTACGGTCCCGTCTGTCTATTCAGGCTGCCCGACATCATTCTACAGTAAATCCAGCAAGTAGCCTGACTCAAATTGGTTGGACAAATACGCATGTTTTTTTTTCCCACTTCCATGACATCAATCACATTGCCGTTTCAGTCATCATGAACGTGTTCCCATTATCCAAGAATGTAAATGGTAGAGTCCAACAGTTCCGGTGTATTCTCCATGAACCAGAAAGCTGCCTAAACAAAATAAATATTGTAGACAAATATGCCTCTACGTCATTAAAAGGAATGCCTTCCCGCCTTCGTCATATGAATCATGATGGAACCATTTCCCCTTCACCCGAAATGTAAAATGGTAGTGTCCTGTCCTTCTGTTCGAATTGTCTTACATCATTCTACAGACACCAGGAAGTAGCCTAAGCCCCTAAAAATGGAATGACAGCTACAATTATGGTATGTACTATCAACTATGGTATGTAAATGGTAGAGTCCCGTGTCCGAGCTATGCTATCTCTGTTCAAATTCGGAACCAGGAAGTAACCTCCCTCAAAATGGACAGGCAAACACAAATATGGTGGATAGTTAAAATTGTGCTCATGGGGTATAGCTGCGAGAGAAGGCAATACTGAAGTACGATATCGCATTTACGAGCGCTGCCTTGAAATGAACGTTTGCGACCGACTAAGAAGGTTAGCGTGCAGATTTGGCCACAATATTTTTGCTTCGGGTTATCTCGACAGACACGCATTTAAATCTCAATGCTAACATTTCCTCAACCTTGACTGCAAATGGAAGTCCCGTCTGTCTATTCCGAATGTCTTCGCTCAGGGGGGTACAACTCCGCTCCACGAGGGCCCCCGCCCAGCGTGTTTTAGATGTCGCCCTCCTCCAACACACCCGATTCAAACGAGCCGCTCATCAGCAAGCGCCGAGAAGCCAGATAACGATCCTGATCGTTTGATGCCGGTGCGTTGGAGGAGGGAGACATCGGAACCGGAAAGTAGTCTGCGACCATAACATGACGACAGACGATTCGAATTTTTGCCATGGTGCAAGTGTCATCACCATCCGCCAAGTGTTCTGCAAACATACCGATGGACCAACAAAGGACCTACATTGACGTTTCAAGTGTTTTGTTTTTCGCGACACATTTGTGTTTGTCTCACAAAACAGGTGTATGTCAAGTTTGGACTGGACAATCGTATGACCACATTAGCTTTGAGATCAGTGCTTGCGATCCTCTGGTGATACGATTGAAAGTTCAGATTTTCCATCTTGTCTGGAGCCATCCTATTGTCTCGCTTTAAAGCGCATGAAACTGGTGTTACCAGTCCCTTCTGCGGTGTATGAAAATGTGGCTCTTCAGAGGTCAAACCCAAGCTGCATACACACACACACACACCACACGGTCCAAAACTCCAAAGCAGCAAATGCTGCATTTCGCCTCGCTACAACGGCGTGGCAAAGCCCGCCGAAAATCTACATTTGAAAAATGATATTGCGGCACAGAGGACAGCTAATGGTGGCATTCGAAGCCAACGAGTCGGACACATCTGTTTTTAATTGCGTGGTTGCTATGCTTCTTCACGAGTGCAGAAAAAAAAAAAATGATGTGAAGCAGACGTTTATGAAAAAAAAAACACAAAAACACGCTTGTGTGCATTGTTTTTGTTTTACAGTTTCTGTCATGTCACTTTGTGGCCGTTATGTTGCGGCCGGGTTGCGCATTAAGGCCAGTGGTTCTGTTTCAAATCACTTTGCCTTTGTTGTGAATGTGCTGCTTTTTGTTTCGGTAGCGCTCCTGCAAGTGTTCGACACGACTCCCAAATTCTCATCATTTCCATCAGTGCATGTTGATTTGAGCAAAAACGTTCGGGCTGCTTTCTATCCTTCTGATGCTTCTGCTGCGTCTGTGTTGATTGATATTTGTGATTCGTAAGTGAGGCCGTGGTTTCACCCGAAAGCTCCACTGTTGTGTTTAGTTCTTGGTACTTTGTGGGATTATTAAAGGTCACTTCTGTAAAAAGGTGATGTGATTCTTGTAACTCAAAACTTGCACTTGGTTTTTGCAAGAAATGTACTTTTTTTTTTTTTTTTAATACCTGGAATTAGATTCGATGTCAAAAAAATAATAATTTTAATTCCAGGATAAAAAATAACCTTCACTTTTTAGTTCATGCTTGTAAATTCCCATTCATTCACGTTTAGATTACGGTTCAAGTAAACTTTCATCATTCTCCAACGCAGTCACCGAATCAAGATTTTGTAGATTTTTGAGTACTGGTGCAGCCGTCCGGATAGACTTTCCCTGTCTTTGCGCCTACGCTTGCACGAGAAGATTTGCGTGGTTTGTCATGAATCGATCCTGTTTTGCAAAGCTTCTCAAACTGGCACTAAACAGCCCTCGGGAACAGAAAAAAATAGTCACCACTCTAGAAAAATGGTAAAATTTTGTAAAACCGAACCTGTCAAATGTTAATGGCCTCAGGTCACTCCGAATGAGACACAAAATGAAAAAAAAAGGACACCCTGTATATTCCGGTAGCTTCCTTTCAGAGTACAAAAGAAGGCTCAGCATATTAAAACAAAAACAGCACACTGCAATTTTATATCAACACAATACTTCAAGAGTCACTCAACATGGCTGATTGTACAAGAAGATTACAGTTTAAGTAGTTGCGGAGTAAAGTCTATGTTGGATTGGTTGAGAGTCGTAAAGTTGAGGTCAACGGGTTGTTTGTACAGAAGGATGCGAGGGTGAGTCAAAATGGCCGCCGACCAGAAAAAATAAGTAGCTCAAAGTTGTGGCTGTGTTTGTTTGCGTGTGCGTGTGATCACTTAGCTGGTTTTGTTGCTTCAAATCCACCCAAACAGAACCAGCAGCGTGTCCAAGGAAAGAACAATGACATCAAAGGTGCTTCCTAGAAGAGCGTCTTGAGTCAATTAAATATCCATCATATGAATCTTATTATTTCCCACTTTTCATGCTTCTGGTTTTTCTTGCCTCCAAGTCATCTTTTGGAGATCTATTTTTTTTTTTTTTTACCCACCACAGGTGTGACACCTCTCGCTCCTTTACCTATTTTCGCTTCCTGCTTCCTGTCATTCACTTCCTGGGTCAACCTAGCAAACCAGACCGGCTATTTTTTTTCTACTTTGTAGGCTTCTGAAGTACAGTAGAGTAGTAGTAGCTTTCGTGTTGCTAGGAGAAAGCAGCTAAGTAGGGTTTAAAATGAGTTTTGTCTTCCTGCTAGTTTGCATTGGGTTGCGAAGTCCACTTGCACTTTGCTGTCGATCGTTTTCGGGGGAGCCCGCTGATTGGTAGGCTAATATGTGTGCTCATGTTTTTGAAAAAAATGTCAGGTTGGCACGGTTAGGAGGCAACAAAAGCGAGTACACCCTTAAATGAAAACAGCCCGTTTGGTCCCAAAATATTGTGCTGACCGTAAAGTTTCTGTATGTGCAACATAGTAGAGCGCAATGAAGAAGAACTCACTATAGGTATGTTACGGCCTGGTAGGCTATCGCTGAGTGCTCTGCTGCCTCCGATTTTGCTAATCAGAAAAATATGAACAGGTACTGCAATGCACGGTTCATCATTCTCCCTCCATATCTTTAGCTATAGCGCACATATTTTTAAGCAATCATTTTTCGGCAATATTTACTCATTGCAATGCCATAGTTGCTGATGTACTTTTCAGCCATTTATTGGACGCCGTGTGAAGGAGCTGTTGTGGGCCACAGATCACGCTTAGAAACTCACACACAAACTCGGCGAACTCCCACACCGTCTCACCAGCCTTGTAGAGACACAGATACTACACTACATACTGTATTCTGTTATGTTTTCAAATTTTTTTTTCTTCTGTGCTCAAATATATTTAAGGTGTTTAAGGCATTTGTTGTTGTCATTGGATGCATGGACGTACCAGTACGGTGCCATTTTCAGCCTTATTTTCCGAGGCGCCGGTTGCATCAATGAGCCTTGAGTCAATGAAGAATCCCCAATGGTGCTGAATGATGTGACATGACTTGACGGGTGTATATATGTGTGTTTAGAGTTGTTGATGAGGTATTTTGGTCTCATCCAACGAGAGATGAAGCTCTCCGGTGCAGTAGACAGGAAGGCTGCGCATTCACTTTTGGCAGTCCTTTTTTCAGCTACCCGCTCGGTCGGTCGCCATGGGAGACCACAGACGGGAGCGAAGAATTCCCTTGTCAGTTCTAGACGCCGCGGAAAAAAAAAAAAAACCCAACCAAAAAAAAATATATAAAAACTCGCCCACTTTAAACACCTGCCATCAACATCTTTGCCTGTGCTATTTTTCCAGTATTTGTCGTGTTACTTCAAATTGGCCAAGTGGACTATGTTATGGAATTCTTTAGCAGTGCATATGAAATCATGGAATACACACACAAAAAAAAAAATGTTCCAATTCCATCCCAAAACCATCATCATCATCATCATCATCATAATTAAATGCAAGGGAAAAGCTGTTCCGCTCCCATTTAAGTTATAAACTCAAATCCCTCCAATGATGAACACTAAACCTTTCCCCCCGCAACGTGATCCCGTCTTAGTTTGGGAACGGCGAGTGAGGAGCTG